ATAATTCACCGATCTCTATCAGAAATTCCCATTTGAAAGGTGTTGTCACGACTGTATTCATGATTCATCTCAGTCGCACTCAGAAACGTCGTCAAAAATATAAACACGTTTCTTTACGATTGAGTTCATTTGAATGTAAAAGAGGTCCCCAACATTCTTGAACATGTGCTTTTGCTTAAAATACCATATTTGACTTGATTTGTTCCTCTATTGCGAGAAAACAGAACAAACCAGTTGAAAATATCGTATTAATCACAATAGCTCACTCCTCAAGGTGGTCACAGTAAGATGGCGGCCGCGCGCGACTTCCGGCTTCAATTTCTGTATCTATAGTTGCGCTCTCCATATATTTATAGCTCAGTGGGGTAACCGCTGGAATATTCTTGGCTTCAATTTTACTAAAAGAGATGCGCTATCTAGTGTATATAAGATATCTATCAATGAAACCAATAGAAGGCTATATAATTTCGTAAGGTTACATAATTTCTTTATCAGTGATCATAACTATAGACAATTGGTGTCTGCTTTCACTACAGACAAGCAGACTTTGATAGATCATTTTTATACAAATTTAGCAGAGTCAAAGCTAGGTCATACATATTGGAAACATTTCTCTTAAAGCACGTAGCAGTATGTGCATTGAATAATTGCTTTCATTAAAGCAAAGCCAAAGTAATAGTGGCTGCATAAAGAGCAGAGATTCAGCTTTAGATTGGAATGTCAATACTTATAGTAACAGTTGCAACCAGTCATAATTATCAATTTGCAGTATATAACTACATATCCTGGAGGGGGTGCTCCCTTCTTCATCCACCTTGATTTCTGCAACTGAATGTCATTCCCAAGAACACCAGGTAAGCAATTTATATCCCCCTTCCCCTATCCCATACTATATTGTCTTAAACTCAACAACAACCATATGTCATAATGGGATGTTATCTATAGCACACAATGTACAAAACTAACAAAATATTCTGTTTATTAAAGGAATACCGAATGGTTTTCCGTGCAGGATTGCGTGATCCATGCACGAGGGATGTTGCGAGACTTTCGGAAAGCGTAAGAATACACGAGCCATAGGCGAGTGTATTTTTACGCTTTCCGAAAGTCGAGCAACATCCCAAGTGCATGGATCATGCTATCCTGCACGGGAAAACCATTTGGTAATTGTTTTATAAAATTACTACAGTGAAACGACGCTTAACTTGATTAAAATTACTGATGAAATGTGCAGTTCTCACAACATTCGTGAATTAACCAATCAGAGAATCGCTACTCCACGCTATTGAAAACAACAACATATGTGAACAGAATTTGATCGCAAATTCGCGAAAGTATACAGCGAAAATACAGGGACCTTTTCGATAAACAGAGAGCCAAAGTAGTTTTGAAGATTCTCGACCTGAATATGTGAAGATTGCGAAGCGTTTGATCAACTTTGAAGCGACAGATGTTGTACTTGCATGCCATCGTCTGATGAATTTCAACGCTTACGCGTTGCTACTTGCTTAATAGCAATGTATCGATCAGAAATTTATTGATACAACTAAACCAACGTCTCAATAATTGGAAACTTTAAAGTCGAAAGGTATCGTACAATGAAACTTTACAATGCGAGTATATTTGTAAAATTATATGCAATAATTTCTGTTCAGAATTTCCCGTGCAGGATTGTCTTATCCTGCACGGCTGTTGATCAATCAAATTGCGTGTTTCACTGTAGTTATTATACAATGGATTTTCTTCCACGACAAAAAATATTGCATGGATCTGATATGCTGAATTATATCATTCTATTCAAGAACTATATGCATCGATTATACTTCTAATTTCCATACTTGCCATCATTTGTTATTGATGAATGACTTTCAATATATGACCTATTGATATATTTACTAGGCATAAACTGTTGATTTGTGTGCCATCAACCCTGACTATGACATTTTCTAAAGTGAAATAGATCAATTATAAACAGCAGAAATGTTGATGCTATGTATCAATTATGGTATAAAAAGGCTTTCAAAACTCTGCAAGTGTATATTGGCACCACCTGTTATCCTGACAACTTCTATGCATCTACAATGTTCTCGCATGCCTGCTAAAATGTATTATGAACTATCAAGAAGATTTGGAATCCGAAATGTTTTAACAAGAACACAGGGATGGATTTACTAGGGGGTGGGGGGGGGGGGTATGCACTCCCCTAACCCTGGCCAGAGGGGGTGAAGGGGGAGGCTATTTTTCATGATAAAGCAAAAAATTATTACAGACAAAATGAGATACAGTAATTTGAATAATAATATGATGATAAGCGAACTGCGAACAACAATTACAATTCAAATACTGTAGTCAAGCAAGACTTTGCAGGAGTGAAGCAAATTCATCGGCGGGCGGCACGCATTACCGTCACAACTCGGCACCAGAGCTGGCAGAGCACCCCCCTCCCCTATCAGATCACGCCCCTCCCCTACCAGATCATGCCGGATCCATCCCTGCAAGAACATTATAAAACTAAGATGATTCAACAAGAACATCATAAAACTGAATAATTATTATCATCTTTGTGAAGTTATGGCCGGAATTAGTTTCTGCAAGTTGAATATATATCAGTCATTTTATTTTTTTTCCATCTGACATACTATAAATCTAACTTTATTTAACTGATCAACTGTTAAACATCAGTCCCTTAAATTTTTTACAAGCTACTGAGTATTGATTGAAGCCCTTTGGCAACAGTGCAATCTCCATGAGCAGATACATGTACGCTTAGCGTACCTATTTTTCTTTTTTCTTCCTGAAACAAAACAGGGCCTCGTTTAACATATAGACTGGGGGACATGTTTGTCCCACCCAGTGCAAGGTCCCTAAAGCCGGTTTTCCACTTCAAGCGTACCGTACCGAAACGTATCAAAAAGTTCTTAAATTTCAAAATTTCGTGAATGTTGATTGGTTAGTACTTCCGTAGTACGCCAAAAAGTTGACTTGCGACGAACGTTTTATTTTGTTACGCGAATACACCCGGAAGTACGTGGTCTTATAAACCTCTTTTCAATCTGCGCATGCTCACCAGTACGTTTCGGTACGATACGGGCGAAGTGGAAAACCGGCTTAAGAACTACCTGTAGTAGGTGGTCAACCAGCAATTAAAAATCAAAGTGAGAAAATGATGTTAAGTTGTTAACATTTCTGAATTTGACCATCATCTGCAGGCTCGTCACTAGCGGAGTCAACCGAGTCAGTTGACTCGATAGGAATTTGGGGACTGAAATTTAAACATCGCCAGAAACCTAAACCATGGCTGAAATAATTTGCACGTGGAAAAAGGCATGGAATGGCATTTTAGGACGAAATTCTAGTTTAGTTTTTCCAAGCAAAGATATTCCAAAGAGACCACCACCCTATCTTGCTCTTCGATCAGTGACACTGAGAAGACGAATGTGTCGATCTCAAGTACCCCAATACATATAATACAATACTGTAGAATTTGAAGTGTGGTGAATGATAATACTACACCACGCATATTTTCATTACCGCATCGTCACATCATAGTTTAAACATATTTATTTGGCGCAATTGCCCCAGGAGCACACGTTGGCTCATCTAGGGGGCTCTTACATATCAAAAGGTTCAAGCATGCAACATACAAATATCACACAATCACACAACATCAATAATTATAGCGTTTTAAATATATCACAATCAGATCATCACTTTGAAACACATTAATTACCTACTGCAACAAACCCCCAGAAAAACAAACATCGAGAATTTTCTAGTACCTCAGACAGCTTGTTACATTTAAACAGGTACTGATAATAATATTTTTTTACCTTATTTACGAACTAAGAAGCGAGATGTATCAATAATAAATCTTTGTACAGCAAAAAACAATCTATGATTTACATTAAAAGCAACGTTATTACATCCAGAAAGCAAAAAAGAAAGTTTTCCAGTTCTATTAGAATTGAACCATTAATTCCCAAGACATTCTGCAGCCGTAGTAAGTAAAATCGAACGGTAAGTATCCCAAAGCGGGCAATGCAACAAGTAATGTTCAGTAGTTTCACGATGGTATCCGCACGCACATGTAGGAGACGGTATACAATTATGACGGAAAAGATCATCATTTAAAGTACTATTACCTAACCGAAGTCTTGTATGTAAAATTGAAGGATACCTAGCACCGACTTCGAAAATTTTCGGACATTTTTTTTACAAAATAGTTTCTTAATTGAAGTTTTAAAATTAGTAATAGACGGCAGATTTCTAATTGAATCAGATATTAAGGAATTCCAAGCAGATATAGCTGATGGAAAGAACGACTGTTGAAATCTAGATGAAGAACATAGAAAATTGCATATATATCATAGTCAGGAACCATTCTGTTCTTAATTTTGTATAAAACTGACAATTTGTGAATATATCGTCTGGTTTCTAATTTATCTCACGAGAGTTCTTCTAGCAGAGCTACACGGTTAGTGCCTTTTATAGCACCAGTAACGAGGCGAGCTGCGTCAAACTGAATTCTTTCGAGAGCATCACTGCACTCAACCCCACAACCATCCCATATAAAATCACCATATTCCATTAAAGGTCTAACTAAAGAAATATACATGCTATTTAATGTAGATCTGTTCAGACGAAATCTCAAACCTTTTAGCATATTCAATCTTTTGGCCGCTCTTTCGCTAATGATATATATGTGATTTTGCCAGGAGAGATCACTTGAAATGTTAATGCCTAAGTGACAATGCAAGTTAACGTCTGGTATAGTCGCTTGATTTAACAAAAGCTAGGGTGATCAGGCTTGTTATTCTTAACAGAAAAAATCATCGATCGTGTTTTACTACGATTCATGGTTACCATCCATTTATCGGCCCAACTAGATATAGATGCAAGATCAGTATTAAGCTTAACAGCAGAAGTTGTTGGAGAATCTACCACATCTAAAATCATAGTGTCGTCAGCAAATAAAAAAGCCTCAGATTGTATGTCATTAGTAATATCATTGATGTAAATCAGAAACAGGAGTGGCCCAAGAACACTAGTGGCCTTGGGGTACTCCAGCATTGACTTTTTACCAAGTCGAATTGGTCCCCTCCACAACTACTCGTTGAAAACGATTAGAGAGATAGCTCTCCAGCCATTTTAGTAATGTACCTTTGATTCCAATAAATTTCAATTTGCTTATCAACCCCTTGGGAGACTGTAAAATTGCAATAATTGTGTCACTGTTTATAAAGTTAATTTCTTGTTGGAACACTCCTCAAATAGCTAATCTGAGATTCAGGAAATCCAAAATTTTCTGGGCGGGATGCCCCAGACCCCTCTAGACCCCAGACCCCTCTTCGGTTGTCTCAGAATCCTAGTAACGGGCCTAATCTGCTGCCCCATACGTATACTTATTAGTTAAACCATGGCATATATATGCTGGTAGCTGCAGTCATACAGACTTGCCAACTGGCTTCTCCGGGTTCCTCCGCGAACTATGCCCCCCCCAGTTACACGTCCTTAGAAGAGGCCCTGAAATAAAAGTGATTTGGGACTCGTTTTATTAATAAATGTCTTTCATAACGAATTTTTTCTATTATGTCTCCTAAAATGCAACCTCGCTAATGTGAAAAATAAGTACGTTATCACATATCCCCTCGTTGCCTCAAATAACCTATACATATACTTATTATATATAATTATATGCTATTTGAACGACAGGGTTGGACAAAATGAACGAGTACAAACATTGCAAAAGCATACTTATATACATACAAATAACATAGATATATATATATATATATATACAAATAACAGCAAATCATTATACGATTTATTATGCAAATAACTAATGATATAGTAATGCATGGTTGCATAAACTAAACACTGTTCCAGAACACCGTGTGCAACTCCATTTCATATCGTTCCAGAACAGTGTTCCAAATGTTCTAGAACAGTAAATGGAGCGACCTCCTGTAACAACATTGCAAGAATCTGTGACAAACTGATTTGATTGATGGAAAAAACAATGAGATCAAAAATCAACGAATCAGCTTGAAGCAGTCCTCAAGTAACGGTCACAGATTACTTCAAAACAAAGTAAAAGTTTAGTTCGGGTGGAAATTATGGCTCTTATCTTTTTGCTAAAATGGAATAGACTTCACCATAAACAAGACTAAAAAATTACGTGAAATCTTCGAACCGTTTGACGCATTTTGTGCTTTCGCTACAACTTCTGAATATTCAAAGAAAACACTGTTGCTTAATTCCAGCTTTATGATAAAGAGTCCGATTTTCTAGACGTGTATGCAATTAACAAATAGATAAGATTTTTCCGTTGTCTGTTCAGTTATACCCGAGCCAACGGCGCGGAGCGTCGTTTCAGGTGTAAGCCCGGGGTGGGGGTACTAATTCCTCACGACTACTTACACCCGGGGAAAAGAGTTATAGCATTAAGTAGCGAAGTTTAAAGTTCATCAATAATCGCGGGCGCGTGGTTATGATCCAAGGGTGGACCTTCTCACTGATCTCAAAAGTATGGCGAAGTTCTGGAGTGAAAGGAGTATGATTTGCGGGGGAAAAAGGAAAAAACATTCGGAAACCCGAAAAATCATTTACAGTGGGACGAACAGCCAAACAGTATATTTGTAAAAATCTAATACAAATTTCTTTTAAATATTGATGTATTGTTTGCTTTACAAAAACTGATGTTGCATCTAATGAAAAAAAGACAGCGTTTTTAGTAATAAAGTACTTTCTTTATTATTTGGGATTATTAAAAACTTTATATACGTGCATATAATTTATATAAGTAGACATGTAATAATAAATTAAAAAAATGAAATGCTGCTTTTCAAAAGGCCGTGTGATTACGCTAAAATTACAATAATATCAATACAATACAATACAATACAGGAGAATATACATAATTACACGTCAAATACATTTAATACGCTACGCGTAACCCACTATATATCAAATCATTGAATCAAGTTAATTTCTTTCTTTCTGAAATACTCTGTAAGTTCCAGATGTTGGCGGCGGCATAACTGAACGACTTTTTCATTTCACTAGTTTTTGGTTTAGCCATCCTCAGCATTAAGTTGTTACTTCTTAAATTATGGTTATCATTGCAGGAAAACTGAAAGCAAAATTATTTTCATGCAAAAATCGCATAATTTGAAATCATTTTATTTCAAACTCGGAAAGTCAAAGTTTATCGATAAAAGACTTGGGAAATTTATATATTTTGTAATTAAAAGTGATATTTTGGGGGGTTTTTTTCTTCCAGTTTTAAAAATATAAAAGAATAAAATTATCGTGTTACTATGGCAACCACTTCAAATACTTCATGTTTGGAAAATATAGTGGTTTTGCGAGCGGGCGAGGGGTTCATGCATGTATTTCTAGTAGCTACACAGTATGACGTCATAATGTGGAAGAACAAAAAAGTGGCACAAGCCGCTGGGCGAGTGGGTCACTTTTTTGTTCTTCCCACATTATGATGTCATACTGTGTATTTATAACTGAACAAACAACGGCAAAATTTTATTTATTTGTTTTATATAATAAAAAGAAAACCTCTGAATTAAAGAGGTAAATAGCTTACTTTTTATCCACCCAAACATTTAGAAATTTGAAAAAGTCGAAATTTTACAAATATCACGCGTACATGATATATACAAATAAGGAGAATGCTATTGGCTACCTTAATTGTGCCGTAATTCCATGCGTCTGTGATCTAATAGATCATGGTTCTCGGCGAATGAAAGGGCTTGATGTCTTAACGTTATTATATAAATATAAATAGTTAGTCTTTACTTGAACTGAGTTCATTTTACCTGAAACGGTTTAAAATCGCTGTTAAGTTGCCAAAAATTATGTTTGAGAACGCACGAATTTGCCATACCCAGAGGGGCCAATCCAGGGCAGTTTTGAGCATTTACTACGCCTTCCATTTCTTGCTTTCGCCATTCCTCTGCAGTCTGCCCCCGCCCAGATCGCCTGGGGTCCTGTCTTCTCATGTGAAAAAGTGCTGAAATTAAAAATAGAATAATGTCTAGGTTGGTTTGCGTAAGTTTTTTTATCTTAAGTGTCCACAGACAACACAGTCGATGTCATTTCATGAGAATTATTCCCTTGTTTAGTTTGGTGGTATTGCCAAACCAAATGATGCCAAATGCCACCTTTCAAATAATATCGTGGACGGTGGTCGTTTGTATGACAAGTCACTGGAGCTGGTAAGATACACTGATATTGATATTAATAGTTTAGTTTGATAGTTTGATAGTTTATTTGACTCTAAACTTACAGCTCCAGAATATATCTAATTCCACTGCTGAAATATGTTAGGTTTACAAAGATATTAAGAAAGATAAACTAATTTTTACAAGTATTTTGTTTAATTTAAGAAAATGAATAAGATTAGACTAAAATTCTTGAAAATACACATTCACATACACACATGCCCAGATTGACTTAAAGTTATAATTTGTTACTAAAGCACTCACTAGTGGTATAATTTAAATTAGGTTAAAAAACCAGCGTATTCATGGTAAAAACAGTTTCTAAGTTATTCGGAAAACTTATTAGAGTTATAAGTGATAAAACTGTTCCTAAATCTGTTCGTTTTATGAAGTGGCACGTTAAATTTCCTATTTTTACGCAAAAAGTGGCTATTGTCATCATTTAATGGCGGTAACAAATCTGTTAATTTGTGCTCAGGGTTGTATTGACTATGTCCTTAAAACGTTTTGTTGTTAATTCCTGTCTTCTATCGTAAAGTGATGGGGTGTTCGTCTTTCTCAATACTTCTTTGTAGTGTTGTTCTGGGATATTATTCGAAAATCTCGTTTCTGAAGTCTTTCAAGATCATCAGACAGGTATTTGGGTAATGAATCATGAAATGCTTGGCACGCATAACGAACTTTTCGAACAATATTCCCAGAACAACACTACAAAGAAGCATTGAGGAACACGAACACCTATTTTGTAAGAAAATGTAGTGTACAGTTAATCCCTATTTAGCAGAATACAGCTGCTTTAATTCATTTTCATAGCAGTAAGAGAAGGCGGGTCCTGGCTCATTTTGGTGACACACCCCCTACACCCACCCCACCTGTGCAAAACCGTCAAAACACACCTTTTGCGCACCCCTTCTGCGCACAGTCCAAAAAAATCAAAATCCATTTTCAAAACCGTTTTCGCACGTTTTGAAAACCCACCCACCGCGCATGCGTCAGCTAACTTCCACCCGATTTCCGAATTTTTGTCTACCGATCGTTCGCTCCCCCAAATCCTTGTGTCCGATTGCCATGGTGTTTATCCGTCCGCCATGATTATTCTTTTATCGTCGTCCGCCGACAGGGCTACCTTGACAACTCTTTCCGTATATATTTCGTGCAGTCTACTTCTGAAGGTATTTATTCCCCTCCACTGTAGGAATACAACTTGGATCTTAGTCCAACGAATTCTCCAATTTGTCTCCCACCGGCCTCATCCTTTGTCATGCCAATGACCTTCTTGTTAATCCCAACGAGGATACCGGACGGATGGTTCTTATCGAAATTACTGGTGTCGAATTTTTCATGGACGTCGTTCGCAATGTCCTTGTAGGCTGGCATTTTCCCCGTACTTTTTTTATGTAGTTGTAATAGAAGTCGTACATGAGGGTTTTACTGATATCTAATATGCACATGCCTAAGTATATTGGCTTAGCAAGTTGTATAGTCGTCCTTGTCATGTGTACAGCCACTAGATTCTTTGAGAATACGGTTACCTACTTAAAGCGGGGTTGTTGAACCAAGCTGTTTAACTTCTTCTCGTTGTTATCAAGTCTTATGTCGACCCTATTCCTAATATTTTCCATCGTATCTTTTCGTGATTGTACTTATTCCTCCTGTAATCCCATTTTCAACCATTAGGTACGTATTAGGATCGGATATTAGATCCAGTTTTACTCCGGGTTTTAGTGCTGCGTCCCAAGCAAGTCCGGATGCTGTATAGTACCACATGGCATCCAACCCGTAGTTTGTTTTGCAGACGTTTCTGAAGCTTTCCATGACGTCGGCTAACAGTAACACGTCTTTTTTCAGGTATAGGTCGTGGTAATCCATCATTGTCCGCATGTTGAAGGTATTCCATACATTGCATGCTCTCTCGTAGTCCGCATCGCTGATATTTCCGTTGTTTAGTCTGCTGTAGAATTTGTCCTTTGATAGTAGTGATGTTTCCTCCATTTTGTCGAAGCCGTTCTTGTACTCGTACGGGAACACACCTTTTTGTTTCAGAAGTTCTCGTTGCTTTCCGGTGTAGTGAGATGTCATGGCATCTAGATTTTCAAACTGGTCATCGCCTCAATTTTTAGCCAACTTGTCCAGCGAGCTAAGGGTGAATTTGAACGAGTCCATGAATCTCAGTTCACGTTTGACAGACTTGGTGTTACTCTCCTTGTCTATGTATTGATCAACGACTATTTCCTTACTGAAGGAGATATATTTTTCCTCAGCTTTAGGAATACACTTCATATTACCTTCGCTGACCCCGAGATTTCTCACAAACAGCTGGGAATCGTATCTCTCTAAATCGTGGAACAGCACTGGAATAAACTTCGGTTGTCTCATCCTTAGATTACATTAGGTGTGTGCTGCACCTCTGTACGTTCCGGTGTAGTGGCAGTGGTCTCTGACTCTGTATACGTAATTTTCCGGGGTGAATTCATCATTGCACACGTCACGCTTGGCAGCATTTTTGTGGTAAGCAACATTTGCAGATGTCATTTTTATGGGTGTTATAACCTTAACTTGTTGTAGATGTCATGAATTTCTTCCAATAGATCTACGAATTTCTTAGTACTATCTTCTCCGTATTGTTGGGTGTAGTGTACCAGTTTGGGTTTGTAGATAGAATTATCGAAACATTTGATGTAATAAAAAACCCCGCTAGGGTTGTGCTTTTGGTACTGGGTGATACTTGACTTATGAGGATTCTGTTCAACCGTGTCCAACCTTTCGATGTAGCATTCGAAGTCGGCATAAATGACAAACGGAACAGTTTTCGTCCTTGCGTAGTTTTTGAATTTGATAATGCTACGTGTTTTCTTTGCTTTTTTTCTGCTAACCTGTGCACCAACAAGTCTGTTTAAATCCTTTACAACGCTGTAGTGGGTATCTTCGCTCGAAACGTCGAGTTTCTCCTTGTTTTTTAAGGTAGTAATGTTCGCGGCAAAGGTTCTTCAACTCTAAAATTGATAACTCGCCCAAATTGCTCGGTACTTCGACGGACGGTTGAATACTGGACGGTCGTTGATCCTGCTGACGAACTCGTGATCGTGGTTTGCTAACTCTTGGCATTATTTTTGGTGAACGTTTAGAAATGATAAACGTGAAACGATTAATTTTTTAAATGACTCTTTAAATCTGTCTTTACAGCTCGCAATCCAAGTAAGAATGATATAGGCAGATAAAGCTAACTCGGATATCTGCCCATGTTTAACTATAGTTTCATTGTATAGTTATGAACAGGTCAAACATAGTGGTTTGGACAATAATTGATAAACGATACTGGGTGCAGTAGCCTAGGGTTTGGCAAGCAAATAATGAAAGTCTGTGATAGAGTCTTCCTTTGTTTAGACAATAGTAGCTTTCGAGTTGGCTTAACATAGACATTTTAAATCTATTATTTTTATTTTAGGTCTAGCGCATTGAGTATCGTCCATTGTACTCGTAAAAATTACCATTAATATAACCGCTCAGCACAGCATCCCACAGAAACAGGTTTACACACTCAGGTTTTAGATTTTAACTTAGTCTTATACTTTGTGTTTTTCGTTAGCACTAATTCTTGATGGTCTTTGGAACGTGAGTGGCCAAACAGTTGTACCACCTTCTCATCTTGCCCATGACTCCTTGCGAACCTTCAGTCATGATTGTTTTTATTTATATGTGGAAAAGTTTTGTCTTTAATTTAAATTAATCCTAAAGTTGATTTTGTTTTTCAAACCCAGAAGGTTTGAAAGTAACAATCATGACTGGTTCGAAGTTTTAGGACTTGTACCTGCGCGTGCAATGTTGATTTTTTAGTAATTTTGTAATTATGAATTCAGACCCCAATCCTACTATTCCGATCGTAATCTGCTGGTATTGTTCCATTTCGCTTTATGGTTTGTAGTAATCGTGAATTGTTGGTTCTCCGTCCAGGGTTAGTTCCTCCTGCGCTTTTCGCAGGGAGTCCAGAGCACGGTTTGTTGCTTCCATATCTTATACTGCCTGAGTATTGCTATTTTGTTCTTTTTTTCTACTTGACTTTCATCCCATTTTCTTTGGCTTTGGCTAACTTTTTCAACGCTTTGTTATGCCTTTTCATTTGGTCTTCGCCATGGTTTAATTTACTGAACAGAAATCCGGCTAAGTTCTTTGAATGTTTGCATGGCGATAAAATATAATTGTTTTTGTTTGTGGAAACACCACGTAAATTTATTACTGCAAAGCTTTCGATCCGTAAGCCCGGATCTTCATCAGTGCTAATAATATGTGACTTGTTTAATTCACACGCTCCTTTTATATACACGAGTGTCGTGATCTGTTGGCTCGCGTCATTTGAAATTTAATTAAACGGCACATCAACCACGTCATTTCAAACGTAATGAAGTGATTCCAATTAACGCGCGCGCATCCAAGACAAGAGAAATTAATTTTGCACATTAAAGAAATCTGGCTCTGGCAAATGCCACAGCGTTAAATAATCCTCCAACTACTGAACTAGAACACTTGTCGTCTTCTTTTATTTTAGTGAAGCTGTTAGCGCTCAGGCACGACGAGCTCACTTTGTTCGCTCCGCCTTACGGTTCGACTTCAACAGCAACTCGTGGAAAAGAACCTTTCGGTCCGTATTATCCACTCCGCGGCTGAATTGCTTTAACTGTGTTGTTGTTGTTTCTCCGGTAATTTTCGCTTTCCTTCGCAGCTAAAGTTCGGATGTTGGCCTTAGGTGAGCTGGCGGTGCAAAATGCGTTAGGTTCGAAATGTCTTTACCTAAACTGTTAAGTATGTAATCCCTCACCCTGTCCGTCGTTTCGCGCATTTCCGCAGCAATCACCGTTTCTTTTCCAACAATGTGCTTTTGCCTCAAACCTTCGACGGCATCTTCCCCCAACGCATTAACAAGCGTATTCCTGGTTTCAACCAGTCCCATTCGAATAAGATGTCCTTCCGGGCTGTTGACGGATACGATGGACATTCCGGCATACATGCCTGCTTCGTCTGGATCCAAAACCTCGACCAGATCCATCTTATAGTCACGCAACATTTTCGAAAGACCGCTCGTAAAGAGCGAGGGCAAATCCTCTTTTATTATAGCGATTTTTTTCGGTGCGGTTTACTTGAATGGATCATCCGGCACTAATTTCTTGGTTTGGAAGTATTGAACACCGAGTGCACCGACTCCGATAGCCACTGCTAGTCTCAGAATTCTTTTTGGACTACTAGGCACTCCCAGACTGTCACCTGCAAGTTTCTTGCTTACCAGGGATGCGGCGACTGCGCCAAGTGTGATAAGTCCGGCATCGTAAGCTTCGTTCATTAAGTCTTTTCTATCTCCCATTTTTATTATATATGAAAAAAAAGTTACTTTTTTCTTTTTCTTTTTTCGTATTCGTTGTATAGGAAGTAGGTTAATGCTAGAGCTAAAATCCAAAGATTCTTCGCCAGGAACGGAACGCCTTTTGTTCCCCATGACAGGACTTTAGCGATGAGGTTTAGTACGGATGATAGTATGGGTCCGACCTTCCCGACTAGGTTTGCCATTGCTTTTGCAAACATTTGCTTGTTGCTCTTGCTCCCTTTTTTGCTACGTTTCTAGATCCCATAATAATCGTGGTGATGATACCCGCCACAGATATTGCTACGACTGATATTCCGGAGATGTTTTCTTTTGCCCATTTTTTAAATCCTTCGAACCTTATAAGATCGTTTGCCTTCACTTCTTCTTCCCTTTGTTCACGTCCTGCAGTTCGTTCGGTTTTAGCTAACTTTTTCCAGTGATTTTTTTCTATTTTAAGATAGTTAATCTTTTTCTTACCTGAGTTTTCTTTCGCTTTTAGGATACCTCTTAGTTCATTTTCCGTTATAACTACGCTATTACTAATAGCTTCGCTTTGGTTGGGTAATTCGTCATCCATTCTTTCGTTGATGTTTGCTAACACATCATCTACAAGTTCTTGGGGAGCGTCCAAGTATTGCTGTTCGAGTTGTTCCTCTACTGCGGCTGCAAGTGTTTTTGAATGTTCTATCTTAGCTTTCCTAACGAGCTCCTTGTATTCATTTACGGCGGATTCTTTGGCTGTGGAGTATATCATTTTCCCGTTCTTTGAAATAATGATCTTAACACCTTCGAATGTAGCACCGTTAATTTTCGTTCCAGCCTTATTTACAGTTAGCTTCATTTTGTCGAAGATTATTGTAGAAGATGGTTCGTCTCCCTTATTGATATTTACTCCCAGTTTTCTTTTAAGAAAATCCTTTTTATCCAACGTATAGGACCGTTTCATTATTCCGACATCTCGTCCAAAGTTCGTTGTGGAACCACTGGGTCGTATCCTTACCACTTAACCAGTACCATACCTTTTCTTCTTCTCAGAATTTTCTCTTCTCTGTACACATCGTCCTTTTTGTCCACGACAGATAGTTCTTTTTCGTAAAACTTTCCGATCGGTTGTCCATCATGACTTTCTATTTCGTACATGTTAGGATCTCCTCTGAATACTTTTACAATTTTGATTATCTCTTCCGTAAAGTTCGCTTCACATCCCTTACTAAAGATACTTTTGTACTTCGTTATTCTGACAGCATCATCAACTCTGAATTAGGTAATGCAAATTCTCCTTATCCGTAACCGCTTGTTTACATCAGCGGGTCTCATTAGTATACTGCTGTATTTGGTGTGGTTATAGTTATTCGTAAGCTCGTTTACTGTAGGACGTCAACACAGTTGTAAGTCCCTTTGCTGTAGAAATACTTCCACATCGTTGTTTTCAAAGTTCTGTTAAATTTTTTAATTAAAATAGCTGCTTTTCTGTCAGAGTTTGTGGAAAAATAGCGGACGTCGTGTTTTTGTAAGAGGTTCTTAACACCGACATTGTAGAACTCATTTCCTTCGTCAAACTGAGCCACTTCCGGGTATTTCCCAAACCGTTTCTTGAATTCCTCTGATAGTAAGTCCTCAGCCTTTGTCATGTTTTTCGAATCTTTTCTGTAGACAGGTATAGCAAATCCATAACGGCTCAGGATCTCGACAGCTGTTAGTATCCAGTAATATCCCTTGTTCTGGTTTTTGTATTTTCCCATATCCACTAGATCCATCTGCACTTGGTCCACTAAGTCCTTAACGAATGTCCTGTGAAATTTGTGCTTTCTGACAATAGGTTTATACCTTGTGTAGGTGTCTTGAGTTTTTAACCAGTCCTTCACTGTTCCTCTGATAATTACTGTAAACAAAGTGACAAGTAAATACTGTACATTTTAACGCCGCATACTTGTAAATATTAAATAGTCAGTAACATTGTAAAACAAGCTTAATACACACAATATGCACTGAATATTATCAGGATAATTCTCAATATTGTTTCATAAAAGAGAAGCGATATAATGCCTTGTCCCTTGGTTTCGGTTTGCGAATTTGTTCAGTCTTTCTCAAGAATTATTCTTATCCTAGGAGTCAGACAAGCCCAGGACTCAAGAATATGTGCAAGCTTTTAGTATTCATCTTTACATGAATACAAAATACAGGACACTCAGTTTTATCTCTACATTGCCGCAATTCCGAAGCTTTGCATTGTTCGGTTCTACAAACGGGAATTGTACTTTATGGAAGCTTGTCTATTAATTTGAATTAGTTATCAACCAATTAGAGCTCTGCGCCCAAACATTGGACGCATGTACGTAAACGTTATAGGGATCCTTGCAGGCTCTCTTTCCCTTAGAGAGCCTGCTCACAGGCTACCCTCTCATTGGAATACTAAGTGGTGGAATTACCGTCGGAAAACATGTGATCAATACAAAGGTAAGCTGTCCGGAAAAGGACGAATAAATTAACATTTTTTAATGAAAATCTATCATCTTTAAACGTCAATATCAAAAGCTACGTATCCATGCAGCTCTAGCTCAGCCTGAAGCCGGTTGTTGTAGTCCTCCTCCGCCTCTTCATTCTCCAGGGTATCCGATTTGGAATACCATTTCGAAAGATCCGTCGGTCTTCCCAAATGAATCCGATCCGTTGGACATTCCAGCCAGCAGCTCGTTACCCGAACATTAAAACTAACGGATACGGGAATGTGAATTCCATTCATACTCTCACGATGACGATAATAAACATACCGAATTTCGGCGTCCTTTCCCATCCATCCCTGTTCAGATTTAATTCTGTGGTTTGCCTGTGTGTTGGTAATGAAATTTTCGGTCGATACGATCAGGACCGTATCCAAATAATCGGTCTCCTCGAATAGCCTCGAAATTTGCTCCATTTTTTCCGGACAATTGAAGTAAAATTGGACTTTGTCGGTAATCCGTTTTTATTTATCCTAGGAAAAGCTTTAAATTGGTTATTTCGGCCGAAGGCAATCGGACACAAGGATTTGGGGGGAGCGAATCGATTGGTAGAAAAAAATTCGGAAATCGGGTGGAAGGTAGTTGACGCGTGCGCGGTGGGCGGGTTTTTGAAACGTGCGTAAACGGTTTTGAAAATGGATTTGGATATTTTTTGGACTGTGCGCAGAAGGGATGCGCAAAAGGTGCGTTTTGACGGTTTTGTACAGGTGGGTGTGGGTGTAGGGGGTTTGCCACGAAAATGAGCCAGGACCCGCCCTCTCTTACTACTTTTCATTTACGTTAGGATTACCCGACAGTACACCAGGTTTATCAAAAACTTAAAGAAAGTGATATTCAACCTATTTTTGCAATCTCTGGCAATGAGAGCACTATACTGGCGTACCAGGTAAGAATGCGTAGAAGAAGTGCTGCCGTCTACAATTCACTGTAACGAAAGTAATTATTTTAATTACACTGGCCGCAGCCAGTGTCATAATTTTCCCTTGCTTGAAAATGCTATCTTTTTCGGTTTTTTGGTTGTCGCAAGTGTGACGTTCCATTGCGGCATCGTGGGCTCAGGATTGCGCAATTTAGCTAAAACATGCTCACGACGATTATTAGGACCAATTCTACACAATGTTAATCAGAACGACTTTCGTGTTTAACTACGTTACAAATCTTAGACGCTGTAATTGTGGGACGTATTTTATTATATTTCATTGCGCATGCGCTTGAACTTTTCTGTGTTTTTCGATATATCGCTGAACTCTATTGGTTTTGTATGGATTTTTATTGTGCCGTCCTCTGAATGTTTGTGATCATGAAGTGACGGCCGTCAAGAAGTGAAGAACATCTACATGTTTCAAATTATTTTTTAGAGTATTGCGATGGTATTTTACCAACCGCGAGGCCAGTGAACGCCTGAGCAGGCGTCTTGTTAAATATGAGAATATCTCACATATAAACTCCTATCACACTTTTCTATTAAAAGTACATATGATTCATGCTTTGGGGGGGGGGGGTCGGATCATCCGAGGACGCCACTTTGTGAAGATTCTGAAATTTAAACCCTTTGAAATGTCATTTCCAGCCGTTTTATCTAAATATTTAATAAACACTATTGTGTAAAATTTGTGTCGGAAAAGCCAGAAACCTTTCCCTTGACACCCCTGCGATAAGGAGGAAATATTTTGGTTTGCAATTTCGTGAAATTACCGGCGATTGTCTAGGCTACAGACGGCGAAAATCGCCGGGTGTCGTTTTCTATTGGAACCCTGATTCTCATCTTGCTGTAATGCATACTGTATCTTCGGTTTCAAGACGCTTGTGTACCTCACCCTAATCTACTGTATAGCAAAATTTAGCTTCAGACAAATGACATGTTTAAACTTTAGGCTATCGTGAGTAACTGGGATGATATAAGTGCTACTTTGGAAGAATTGGATGGAGATTCTAGCAAAATCATTGATCTTATTCAAAGAAGCTACGATGTAAGTGAAACTGTTTTAGCTCTAATTTACATGTATCAATTTGCATGCGAATTTTGTGATGTGACTAATTATTACAAGGGATTTATACCTGCATACAGTTAGGGCCTCCAGGTTATTGCATCCAGTTAGGAAACCGTTTCAATAATTGATGGTCAGGAGTTACCCAGGTAAAATAAAGCTTACAAACACATGCAGTGAAGGTTGTCTTCCGCAAAACCTCGTAAGTTAGCACTGTATAAAACGGCTTCGTTCTTTAAAAAAATCTCCGCAACGCAATACCCGAACGGACCCATTCTATATTATGAAATAGAAAACATTTTCCGCGTTTCTTCTATACAGTCATAGAAACACGAGTGGGAGTTTGGGAGAATGAGGAACAAACAGTGGCGAGCCCAAAGGGCGAGATCTTCCTCGTTATGTCGAGTTCTCCCAATTTAAACTACAGGTGTTTCTATAACTGTATATATAGAAACACAGGAGAAAATGTTTTCTATTTCGTTTATAATATAACTCAAGAAACTTTTTTTTTAAAACAAATTCTTATTAACACCACTCGATCGATTGCCCGAATAGAAACACGCTTCTCGACGAATCAACGCTCGCGTACTATAAATGTAATATCTTTATATTTTTAGAAAATCACCTCTAAAGTCCAATTGAATTTTGCGAATCTTCCAGAAGGTATTGAAGTTTTGGTTAAACATCGTGATTGCCCGTAAGTATTTTAAATCTTTGTCCCTCGGTGGTTGTTTGCAATCAGATTTTGCAAATTTCCTACCCGAAATTGCAACGACTTTTTCCAGGAAATATAAAGTGTTCTAGATCGTCTAAATTTAGTATCACTGTCTTAGGATAAATATTAATGCCCAGCATAAAACACGTAAAAGAGCCATAACAAAAATATAATTTAAAATATTTATTAGAAAGCTAACGTTTCGTCTTTAACTTAAGACATCTTCAGAGCAATGACATACAAAGCGGAAAACACAGAAATATGAATAAATTACAACTATTTACAAGATATTATATTACAAAAGTAGAAAGAGGAATGGATCAGAGTAGAGGTAGAGGGATCAAGCTGCCCTGTAAGTTGAGAAAGGGTTTGAGTTTGTTAATGAGAAGACTTTCTCGAATGAGGAGTTCGTCTGGAGAAGAGCAACAAGAAATAATCTTAAAATCATTAAGGGAGGCGGAGTGACCAGTGCTATCAAGATGGGAAAGGATACTAGACATGGTCGGATTGCTGCTTTTACTGCCTGTTAGAGGAGAAACACCCAAATGTTCAGAAACTCGTGTGTGCAAGTGACGGACCGTTTGATCCAAATACGTTGCGGAACAGCAACGACACGTGAAGGAATACACAACACAAGATCTCAAAGCGTTAGGAATTTTGTCCTTAAAGGTGAAGAGTTGAGACAAACGTAAAGTTGGACGAAA